ATTCTTAGGGGAGAATGATCCTTAATGATAGACCTACTTATCTGCTATCCTCCGCACGATGTCCATCAACACCTCCAACAATGATGTGATCAAGATGTTTTAACTTTTATAGAAAAGTTTAAAACAAAGCAACACTGTTAAAATGGAATTATGGATTGCAACAGTATTTTGTATAGTGACATAAGGGCAAACAGAGTGCCTAACCTAAGTCATATGGAAGTTGTATCATGACAGGCAAACTAAGTCTTCCTGGTTGATGAAACTCAAAGTTAAAAATAGAAATACTCACCTTATCAAGTTCACAAGCAAAAGTAATTTTAATAAATTAAGGGGATGAAAAAAAAGAAAATGGAAAATCAAGTTGTAATAAATTATGTTTTAATCTTTTTTTTTTAATAATATAGAGTATGTTATAAGTTTAATCATTGAACTTTTATGATTTAAAATGTTGATATCTAAAATGTTGATATCAACAAAAATATCGATGTCTTAATGTTATCAAAATTTTGATATAGATGTTGACATATCAACAGAAATTTAGTAGCGGAGACCAAAGCAAAATTTTAAATATCAATGTCGATGGAAATGTTGAGATCTCAATTTTATGAAAATGTCGATTAAAATATCGATAAAATGTCAACACGAGTATTTTTGAAAATATTAAAAAGTATTAAACAAATATTTAAATTAATAAATAAATATTCACTATTTTTAAATAAGTTAAAATGGTCGGTATTAATTTATCTATATCTATATATATATATTTTAATATAACATGTCGGGAACGGGATTCGAACTCTCAACATTTTGATTGGAGGTATAAGTCAATTACTGCTCAATTATATTTGTTTGACAATTTTATATCTATATTAGTGATAATTTATTAGTATTTTTTATATTTGGTCCATTTTTATTGTAATACTGTGTGAAAACATCGATTTACTTCGTGAACCCATGAAGAAACAAACGGTATGAAAAGAGATTCCAATAAGTAATAACAAAACAAAACGGTCACTCCTTGTCGTCACTCGACACGCCGCGTGCAGCGCTGCCACGTGTCGTGTCTCCTCTCTCACACGTGCACACGTATTCGGCACGTGTTTGGTACTGGAAACTGGAAACACGCACCTACCTATAATGATAATACTGTCATGTTAAAAGACGTAATTGTCCTCTTTGTGCCAGCTTTTATCAATCGACCAGTTTTAACTTTTTAACTTTTAAGTCCCGTGATCTCCTTTTCTTTCTCTCTGAGAGAAAAATTACAAATTTAATCCCATTTTATTACAACATGTTAATTTAATTTTCTTAGAGTTAAATTATGAATTTGATATTTACAGCTTGATTTTTTTAAATAATATTTTTATTTAAATTTATTTTTAAAATAATACTGCATTAATTAAAATTAACAAAAAAAATACATTTTTTGAAACTTATTCGAAAAATAATACTTTCGAAATTAATCCTCCACATGATCGCCTCTTCCCGACCATGCCACTTTTATTAGTTCATTTTAAAAATAAGTTTAAATAAAAATATTATTAAAAAAAATCCTTTATAGCTTAGGCATAAAAAATTAAATTATATAATTTTCTAAGTTTTAGCTTAATCTCTATGGATCCATCTCTAGTATTTTTACATGTTTCAAGTCTATTTTTTACTTGAACAAAAACACTCACTCATTCTTTTTTCTTATTTTTTATTCATTTCTAAACCTTATTTTTGTCCATCATCATAGTCATCTAGATAGAGAACATCATCCATCAGGATGTAAAAAAAAGTCTCATATTTACTCATGATAATGATACGCAGAATTATTGATAAAAGAAGAGAGAATTATTGATAAAAGAGGAGAAACTCAAAGGTAGAATGTTTAGATATCTCAAATAAAGAAAACAATAACTATATTTAGTTGCACAAATCTATAACCCCTCATTTAAGATATAACTTCTCTTCAACTTTAACACAAAATAAAGAAACAAAAACGAACAAAGAAGCGCTAAAAAAGACTAAAGAAATAAATAAAGAATTGATAAACGTCAACCATTACATAAAAAATGCAATTAAATACGTCGGTTTAAAGACAAAATATAAATAGACACTCACAAGTGAATAAATATGTTAGTTGCATAACAGAAATAATTTTTAAAAACTATTCAAATTCTTTTATAAATTCATAATTACTCGACTGTTTTTCAATCTTTTCAAATTCTAACAATCATTTTCTTTCATATGTTTACAACAAAATTCAACATACGTTAGATAGAAAATAGAAGGAAAATAGACATTTGAATAAAAATAGAGTGAGACACGAGATTGTACCACCTCTTTTTTAAGTAATTAATATATTAATTATATATTTTACTCACACGGCTTACATTTGTTTAATACATTACAGTGAAACAAGCCAAATCTTATTTAAAGTTCAACAATTGCAAAATTGAAAATCAAATCATCGACTTTATGAATGACAATAGGTATTTTAATCTACTCAAACGAATAGCAAACCATTAACATTGTGGGAACATTATAAAAATATTATAAATAGATGACAAAAGGCCATAGTCCTTGGTGTATTAAATGATTATGGATTTTTCTTCCTCCTTTAGTACATAGAGAAAGTTGAACCTCTATTCTTGTTTGGATTTGTACCATACCAAGTTACAAGGATAGATGAAAATAAGTTCTTGTTTCTTTTGATTTTGCTTATCCATTGAAGAACATGAAAATTGAGTTATAAGAATGCTCGATCGAGAAATCCAATAGATTTGGGAGTTATTTTACCAAATCCAATTGAAAAAAATGTCATTTTCTTTGAAGATGATAGGGATTGACCTATACCATGGGACAAGGAGAGATCCCTCCAAAAAATATCTTTATCCCCTAACCGGAGGTTTTAGAGAGTTCAAAATTCTAATTTGTTTCAATTCTACTGTGAAATTCATAAATGAAGTAGTTAATGGTGGGATTACGTCAAAGCGAGCATACTTTAACCGTAATTGACATATACCTCAAATCAAGAAGTTGTGAGTTCGACTCTTACCCAACATGTTGCACTAAAAAATGGTGGGGTTACCATTATTTTTTTTTTGCATTGAATAATATCAAGTTGAATGAATTGGACTCAGAAAACTTTTTTTTTTTTTTTGGGTGTTTTATTGGGACAATTTTCTCTTGTTTACTTTGACTAAAATCTATAGATATATAATAATAAAGACATGGATTATTGAACATAATTTTTGTCAAAGAATTTAATATACAAGATGCATTCAAAGATTTGATGTCAATTAGTATTGTGTTGGAATGTGCCGTTTGTCTCCACAAAATTTAAATCATTATACTTACGGTATCTTTTTGGCATGTTGAGCCATGTATGTATATATATATTTTGGATAAAAGAACCATAAATTCATTTATCACAACTTCTTGTTATTTTTTTTTCATTCGGTTAAAATACTATTTTTTTCAACTTTTCACTTTTGTTTATTTAGTCTACGAAGTTTCAACTTTTGTTCACTTAAACCTTTATAATTTCTAAAATTCATTTTAGTTCCTATACTTTTTTTTTTCATTTGACTAGCATTAATGATCTGCACAATGCAAACATAGAAAAGTTTAAATATAGAACTAAAATGACATCATCGTCCGACGAAGAAGAATATGACTTTGGATTAAAAAACTTTTCTTAATGGGTAAAATTTATTTTATTTTGCATTTCTTTAGAAGGTATGGGCAACCTTGAAAAACAAAATGAAACCAGACAAAGTTCTTGTCATGTGTGTAGAACATACTGCATCGAGACCCGAAATCAAATATTTAATTAAAAAAAAAAAGAAAGAAAACAAAGTTATGGAAAAAATAACTCTCTCTCTCCACTTTTTCTTTCTTCTTTTAATCCTCTGAATTGCATGTGCACTAAGCTTTATATGTAGACTTAAGCTTTAATCATAATAAAAGAAATCAACCTTTTTTTTCTCTCCATTTTTTGTTCTTTTTTAAATATGTAAAAAAGTCATTTATGTTTATGATTTAATGTTGTGGTTGGGATTTTTGTGTACCGTTGTGCAACACTCTTTTTTCAATATATTTCTATTTTATTGTAGTTTAACTTTATAATTAAGTTTTGATTTTGTTTTTGATTTTTCGATTTTAGAAAGTAAGTTTGGAGACATTACTTCCATTTATGGTGTCGATGTTGATCTTTTGGTGCAATCTACGTAAGTAAACGTACGTCTTCGTCTCGAAATTCTTATTGCCTGCACATAGAAATCTAGTATTGGTGTAGTACGCTGCTGAATCCACTTCAATGTTTAAGTTAGGACTAAGTTGAGAGTAAACATGTATAAAGCAAAAGGAATAAGAGGACAGTAGCCTCGAAGATGAGAGTCTGCCTCTAAGTTGAGAGTAAACATGTATAAAGCAAAAGGAATAAGAGGACGGTAGCCTCGAAGATGAGAGTCTGCCTTAGAGCGTGTATGTGCTAAATTCTCACCAAGAGTTGTACAGGGAAAGACAGTTTACCTCCCTTAGAGTTGTTCTTTTCCTTATATATGGATGGAAGGATGGGTGTTCTCCATGTGCGAGGCGGACATAGAGGAATGGTATGTCACGCTTGCGGTTCGTAAAGACCATTGAAATCCTCTTTTTCCCTATGCGTAACGGATGAGGGGCATGACAGTGTCTTGGGCAATCCCTAAAGCGAATCGCGATTTTTGTACAAGGTGTCAGCACCCCACTTGTTGGCAGTTCTCTGGACGGTTTCATGTGTGCTGGATCGGGTAGTGTGTTTGGTCTCTTATAGTTCTTTCTTAGACCCGGCCCATGTGATTGGGAGTGCTTGCGACTCGTGGCACTCAGTAACCTGGTTTTTTTTTCCTTTTTTTTTTGTAATGTAGTTTTTGTAAACAATATAAGCCAAATTTTGGTAAGAAAAAAAATATTTTTTTTAGAAACAGAAAAAAATAAGATGACAACACCTAAAAAATGCGAAGAAAGAGACCCGAGAATTTAAGAGCTGATACATCTGCTGTTGCTGCGGACTCCGCTTGATCTTGACGGCTACGGGTAGGTGGGGTAGCAGAGACCCGAGTCCAATTTTTTTGAATATACATTCCCTTTTCCCGTGAGCGAGCGATTCAAAGACACTCAAAATTCGCGAAAACCCAACACATTTCACCATTTCGATTTCCCCCAGAAACCCAAGGAAAAATCACTCTCCAATTTCTCCTAATATTGGGCAATCACAATCCGCTTGCTTTTTCAGGACACTGATTTTGTAGATTCTCTCTCTCTCTCTCTCTCTCTCTGTTCTTCTCTGATGGCTTCACTTCGCTTCTTCTTTCTGACCCTTTCTTCAAGATAATAGCCTGTAAGCGCTTCCTTGAGCTTAGAAGCTTCTGGGCTCTAATGGGTCTAGGCAGACCTCACAAGGCCTCCAATGGTTTCTCTCCCAGATGGGTTTTTCTATTCTGCATTGCCAGCTTCTTTCTGGGTATTTTCGTTGTCGACAGGTACTTTCTTTCTCTTTTGTGACTGAGATCTTGTTCACAATCGAATCGTCTGGTTAATTGTTTGGGGTATTGCCATTTTCTGTATAGCTTAGTGGGTTGTGTTCTTGAGCAGTTCTTTTTGAGAAATTTGACTGATCAGATGCAGAACTTCTAGAAGGAAATTGTATTTAGTCTGCATGGGGTTTTTTGATTTGTGGAGGCATTGTGTGTTTCTTTTGACCTTTGGGTCTTCCTGTAACTGGATCTTTTGGTATAATGTGCTGCAAATTCTTGGCCAATTGATGAAGATTCCTGTTGCAGATTTCTTGTTTAAGCTATAGATGAAGTTGCTTCTTATGATATGATTCACTGCCATTTTTGTGGCTGGATAGTTAGAAAATTGTGAGAACTATTTCCGATTGCTGCATTGGCTAGAGAAGTTGATCTTGTGAACTTTCCGTATCTTCGGCAAGATTGAGGTGCTGTTATGAGATCTAGTACATGAAAAACATATCATTTTGGATAGTTAAATTGTTAGTATCAAGTTCGAACTTTATTTACTGAGCCCAGAAAGAAAGTACGAAGATAAGAAGGGATCGACTTGGATTAGAGCCTTCATTGGCTCTTGAGTTGCTTAGGAAACAATTCGTGGAAGAAATACTAAAAACTTGGGAATGGTTGAAAGGAAAATTGTACCATGGGATTCATGTTGCTGTTGTTTTGATGAAGTGCTCAAAATCTTCTATGGTTTCTTCGTGAATTCCATGCTTCTTCTTCCCATCTTTCTCTCATTTTTGGGAGAGCTATGGAAATGGGGAAAGGGTTAGATGTGGAGATGGACTTTAGTCAGTATGTCCTTCGACGAACTTTACAAGGATTATTTTCCTGTAAGCGGTGAAACTTGCATATTCTTCTATCTGATACTGGTTGTCTACCAGGAAGAAATGTGTGAACCTTGATAACTTTCATTCTGTTTCACAGACTTAAAGCCTTTAAAACTGGGTCCAAACGAACAGGATTGTAATGTGGGTTCTTTTTCGTTCTGTTTTTTTTTTTTTGGGGACAGTCTTAGGTAATGCCCATGTTTTACATGCGAGTAAAGATTGTCTTGGCAAGTTTTAATCAATGGCGTGAGTTCCTTCTGCTCAGACAGTTCCCTAGATTTGTTGTAAAGAATTCTGAATGAACCCTTACCTGCTGTTCCTTCTAACCCTGTAGGTTTTTTTATTTTTATTTTTTATATTTTTTTATATTGACATTATATGTAAGATTATTGTGCACACTCTTAATTACTATAAAAAAAAATCTGATATCTTCTCCATGCTATGCAAAATTTATCCATTTAGATATGTTAGTTGATTATTATTATTATTATTATTATTATTATTATTATTATTATTATTATTATTATTATTATTATTATTTCTTTTTAAATTTCTCCTGTAGATTCTGGGCTATTCCTGATCCAGTCAAAACAGATGAGGAGTCATCTTTGGATAAAGTCCAATCAAAAACTTCACAGCCCATTGTTAATTGTGAGAAGAAGGCAAGTTGGAGTATATAAATGTTATAATTTTTCCTTAACAACAATATCTTGATGATTTCGTTCATATTACAGGAAGTTTCCCTGCAGGCAGACATTCTTTCTCAAGTATCACAGACCCATGATGTCATCATGTAAATTTTAGTCTCTTCCCTAATGTAATATAAGAAGAAATGTTGCTTTTACCTTGTAGTTATATCTCAGATTTTGTAATTCAGAATTAGTTGTTGATGTAACATCATATAGTCCATCATAATTCCTAAGTTTGAAGTATATCATTATTTTTTCAGGACATTAGACAAAACAATCTCATCATTGGAGGTACAGCTAGCTGCAGCTAGAGCTTCTAAAGCAGATAATGATGAAGGGTCTCCTATGGTTACAAAGCCCGCGACCCAGACTTTGAAGGAGCGGCCAAAGGTTTTCTTTGTTATGGGAATTATTACAGCCTTCAGCAGCAGAAAGCGAAGAGACTCTATTAGAGAAACATGGATGCCTCAAGGTTCAACCATAACATAGTCATTCTGTCACAAGTACAACCATTTTTCTGCTTTTGAAACAAACTCATTCCTTACGGCGCATTGTTATTTAATGTAGGTGAAGATTTAAGGAAGCTGGAGGTGGAGAAGGGAATTATTATACGCTTTGTCATCGGACACAGGTATAATTTTCATAAACTCATGTAATGTGCTTAATTGAAAAATCTCATGTTTCCTAATCTAATAGATAACATGCTATGGTTCTTAGTGCAACTCCTGGTGGCGTATTGGATCGTGCAGTTGATGCAGAGGATGCACAACACAAAGATTTCCTAAGACTGGTATGTAACTGTAATATTGTCATACACAAATAGGCCATACGTGAGGAGAGGGAAGAGAGAGTTAGTTACCATGGACAACTCGAGGTACTTGTTGGTGTTAGGAGGTTGGTTTAGTTAATCTGTATTCTGTTAATTAGCTACGGTTAGTGGCTGATATTAATAAAGGAAATGAGCTAGGGGATGGCAAGTGAGAATTGAGAGAAGAGGAAAGTCTAATCCTCTCTAATGCTCGGGAAGATTTGTAATTTTTACAACTTACTAATTCTAGATCTATTCTTGAGTTCTATCAACTTTGGTATCCGAGCAAATCATTTCTAGGAATGCTAAAAGAAAGAATATGGAAGGGCAAATTGGTGGTGTGGAGGAACTGTTTCAAATTGTATTGAATGAAATGAGGAAGTTATTTAGTACTATGCAAGGGATCTGCGGAAGATCCCTAGTGAGAAGAACGTCATCATGCTGCTTGAGCATGTTGAGTAGATCCTTGAAAGGAATTACAGCATTAGGGGAGAGGACACATAACTGTGCAAAAGCCCTCATATTAATGGAATAGCTTTTCTACATCTATAGGTGAGTATGGACAGTTGGGTCGTTAATGGGCTGAAGCCAGTATCATGATGTTCGGGATATTGTGACCAAGTGGTCCGAGTCAAATCATGGAAAGCATGCAAATGGTGGAGGTCAAGACTTGCTCTTGGGACAAGGGAGAGGAATTGAATATGCAATATCAATTGTGAATCAAAGGTAAGATTGAATTGACTATGACTATTAATCCAAATTTAGTTAGCAAGAGTGCACAGTCCAGCCTCCCGCTTCTCAATCATATGGGAAAGAAAAAGTTGTTAAATCAAAAAGTTGTTGTTAACCCCCAATCTCTGAAACGTTTAATAAGAAGATGCAAAGCTGCAGCGCAAGAGGGATCTGGCTTATGCTTTCACTATGATGAGAGATTTTCAATTGGTCATATAGACGTAAGAACAAGGAACTGCAGGAATTGGTTCAATAAGAGGAGGGCCAAACGCCGGAAGAGGAAATCATATTCACCCAAACTGATATTAAATAGCTGATGACTTCTTACCCTTGGAACTAAGGGTTGTGATGTAACCCTTGGGATGCAATGGCTAGAAACCATGTGAAGTATGCAGGTTTAGGCCGGGCATAATGCAGCAGCGTTTTGTGGGGAACTAGGACTTATATATCCCCAAATTTCACTGGGAACCATGTTGAAGGTCATCTGCAAAACTGAACAAAGGGATATTCTTAAGAGTTTGGTTTTGCATTCATGCAAGTTACACAACAAAAGTGAGATACAACCAATTCTAGCAAGTTTGGCGATGTATATTCTCAAATGAGGCATCTCCTTCCACAATGTGAGACCATATAGGTATGCTGAGGTGCAGGAAGATGAGACCAAGCACTTGTTTGGGCAGATGTTGGTTATAGACATCATCAAACCAAGTCAGAGTCCGTTGAGGCTTGAACCAAAGATGTTGGAGGGTATGTCAAAATAATATCCTAAGCCCATACCACTAGGGCATCCTTCGGGATTGCAGGCCAGTACAAGTTTTTTTTTTCCTTTTGTTATGCCATTGAATTTAACCAGAATACCTTCTACTCTATTTGGAAAAGAGTAAGAATGAGTGAGATCTTGAGGATCTAATTATTAGGTAATATCTGTAACTTGCATAGCACTTGATTGTGCCATGAGCCATCCATGTTACATTCTGTTTCTGGGGACCATGGGAATATTCCCAATAGAATTTAATCACATTTTCATCATTACTTCTCAAGTTGAGGAAAGCCTTGCCAGAGAATAAATGTATGAATATGAGAGAGAGAGAGAGAGAGAGAGAGAAAACGAAATTTCTGGTTGATGTTTGGAAGGTACAAAAAAGGAAGGGTAAATGCCCCAAGGTGAAAGGATTTTGAGGGTCTGCGCCCTAGAGCTCAAAATTTAAATTTTTACAATCTTGAGATTTGTCATTTAATGTTATCCAATTCCTCTTAATCAGAGCTTTCAAAAAACATTGACCACCACATTTACACCATAATGTGACAGCTGGTCTTATACTTCATTTAAACACATTATTAATTGTTGTTTGAAGATGTTGCTGTATTCAAAGCTAAAGTAGTTAATTTGTACTTTGCTTTCTTCCATCTGGTCTTAATTAGCTTTTTCAAAAAACGTTAACCACCAAATTTACACTAAATGTGACAGCTGGTCTTATACTTGATTTAAACACATTATTAATTGTTGTTTGAAGATGTTGCTGTATTCAAAGCTAAAGTAGTTAATTTGTACTTTGCTTTCTTCCATCTGGTCTTAGTTAGCTTTTTCTATTTTTTTTTATGAGAAACTGCTATTTCATCGAGAGAAATGAAGAAATATACAAGGGCATACCGAAAAACAGCCCAACCAAAGGACGCCACCTAGAGAAAGGGGTTTCAATCCTAAAGAATTAAGCCTAACTAACAATTACAAAAGACCTTATAAACATTCTCTATCCAAAAGAATTAACTCTAACTTATAATTACAAAAGACCTTAGAAACTGATTCTCACATTGATACCTTATATCTGGTCTTTAATTAGCTTATCAACTTGCATATTTAAGTGCCTGCATTTTAACCTATAAATCAACCTGTTGCTTATCCCCAGTGTACTTGTTCAAAATAATAACATCACTAGTTGAATAAACTTCTAAATTTTGATTTTTTTCTTACAGAACCACATAGAAGGATATCATGAACTGTCCTCAAAAACCCAAATATACTTTTCAACAGCAGTTGCTAAGTGGGATGCAGATTTCTTTATCAAAGTTGATGATGATGTTCACATAAATCTTGGTTAGCATTCTCACATTCTAGTATAATTGGCTCATCCTTTGAGTGGGGGTGTGTTTTTGTTGGAGATGCCCACTCTGCTTGCATGCCATAACACAATTTATTGAGAAATTGCAGGTATGGTCGGTTCTACCTTGGCCCGACATAGATCAAAACCGCGCGTTTATATTGGTTGCATGAAGTCGGGGCCCGTCCTTGCTCAAAAGTAAGCAATTAAACACTCTATATTCATGAATGTTACATCAAATACTTAACTCCATAAAATCTATGTAGAGGGGTCAAGTACCATGAGCCTGAATACTGGAAATTTGGTGAGGAAGGCAACAAATATTTTAGGCATGCAACTGGGCAAATTTATGCAATCTCCAAAGATTTGGCTACCTACATTTCAGTTAATAGGTAAGTCCTTTTTGACACTGTATTGTTGTTCTCTTAGTATTATTGTAATTTTCTGTTCACTTACAAAAGGAATTGCTTTTCTAGGCCCATACTTCATAGATATGCAAATGAAGATGTTTCTCTGGGTTCATGGTTCATTGGTCTTGATGTGGAACACATTGATGATAGGAGCCTCTGCTGTGGCACTCCACTTGGTACGCAATCACTATTCCCTTTGTTTCCAAAATTGGTTAATTACAAGTCTAGTCTATGAACTTTTAAATTGTTTCTATTAGACCCTTGAATTTTAAAAAGTGTCAAAACAGATTATTAATTTTCAATTATATGTCTAGGGTAAGTGTCNTTCACAGATCTATTACACACAAATTGAAATGCTAAAATCCTATTAGACACAACATTCAATTTTGTGTTAAATTTGCCAACGAATTTTAGAAAATGTCTAATAGATGCAAAAAATATCTAATAGGTCATGGATCTATTAGACACAAAATTGAAAATCCAAAAACCTATTAGATACAAAATTGAAAGTTTAGATATCTATTAAACACTTTAGTTCATTGATTTGTTAGACATAATTTTGAAAGTTCAAGGACTAAACTTGTGCATTAACCTTCAAAATTCCACCTCATCATGTCGAAACATGCTTCACCAGTCAAAAAACCAAATCGTGAGAACAGTGATATGAATTAGAATTAATATCATGTTCCATTTCATCAAAACCGGTCAATACCAAAAGTTCTCTCGAATGGATTCTGCAAAGTTATCAAATGCCCATCATGTTTCTAGATAAAAATGTGTTCTGAACAAAAAGATGAATTCCATGGAATGAATGGAATTTGTTCAAACTGTTGCAGACTGTGAGTGGAAGGCTGAAGCTGGGAATCCTTGTGCTGCATCATTTGATTGGAGTTGCAGTGGCATTTGCAAATCAGTGGAGAGAATGGAGGAGGTTCACCAGAAGTGTGGGGAAGGTGAGGAAGCTATATGGCACACCAGTTTCTAGAAACCCTTTCAATTCCTTTTCTTATTTTTCTTTTTTTCTTTTTGGTCTCTGTATATTTGTAGAATATTTGTTTGTAATTTATCAACAAACACTAAGGCTCACAAACCCCATCTGCCCATTTTTTTGCTTATTCATTATTATTACAAGGCAGAGTGGCTGATGATCATCAATTTAATGGAAAAAAGGAGACTTTTTTTTTTCCGTTTTCATTTTTACAGAATGATATCTCCATCAAAGGAGTAGGGTGGATACTGGATGTCACTTGTTTCAGTGTATAAAAAGTTTAGAAGTCGTGGTTTTGGAGATGCCCAAATCCCCATTTTAAATATATATTTTTATTTTTGAATGTGGTAGACGGTTGAATAGATTAATAGACATGTCACGTCGATGGGCGATACCTTTTTCATTAATAAATTTGTAATTGAAGTGACCTTGGTAATATTTAAAATGATGAAAAAGGTGGGAAAACAACATAGGGTGGGAGTGAGCTTTCTAAATCTTTGACCAAATTCATGGTATTGCATTGCTGTGTATCTCTTTGATAGTGAGAGAGATTTATGGCAACTTGAAAGTGGCTCTACCAAGGACCACCCCTCACCAAAAAAAAAACAAAAAAACAAAAAAACAAATTCAAATTTTTTTTTTTAATTAATATTGGTTCCAAAAAACTAAGAAAAAATCTGTTATTTTCCATTATTTTTCAATCATTCTAATTTAGCTAAAAAAACTTTTAAAAAGGGTTTTGAATACTTGGTGGCCATTAATTTTCGACTGTTATTCTTACTAAAACATAGATGTTAATTGACCATAATCATAGTAATTCTTAATAGATATGCGACATTTTATAAGGGACAAATCAACCTATCTCATATTAGTAATAAGAATTTTTAATTTATTCAAAAAAGAGTAAAAGACTTATTCTCTAACTTAAATATTTTTTAACTATTTTTATTTTTATAAATTTTTGAAAAATTTTCATTCATATTAATATTTTATTGATATTTTTATAGTCATAAAGCTAAACATGGAGTACTTTTAAGCACGTGAGAAATGTAATTTATGATAAAATAGAGATTTTCACGTCCATAACAACCTCATATTCCAAATCACAGGGACTAGTGAAAAAACAAAAAGTTTTTTTTTTCTTTTTTTTTTCCTCATAAAGTTCAAACAAAGCCTCCACTGCAATCACCACCGCACCACTCATGGACCATTTTCTTTTTCGTTTTTTGTTTGAGAACCACTTGAATTTATGTTTGATTTTGATTCATATCTAAATTTTCCCTTAAAAAGACACAAAAAACGTGTAAAAACTCAAAAGTGGTCGGTTTATTTATATATGTATATATTTTTTATTTGCCCTTGCTGCCTTCTGTTTTGGTTTCTTGTGACATTTGACTATTCATGTTGATGAAAATATCGAGGTCTTGATTTCATGAAAATGTCGATAGAAATTTCGAGGTCTTAATTTCATGGGAATTTCGAAAAAAATGTCAATGTGATCGAGTATTTTTGAAAAGGTTATAAAAATAAAATTTACAAAAAGTATTTAAATTAACAAACAAGCCTTCCACCCTTTTTAAATAATTTTAAAATGATTAAAATTAATATTATGTCTATATTAGTGATATTTTAATAATATTTTTAATATTTTATTGATTTACTTTGCAATAATATAGAAATGTCGATTTATCTTAGTGTCAATGTTCAACCCATGAACACATAAAAATGTTGATATAAAATTGAATACCCTAAATTTCATGATAATTGATGTTAAGAATGGTTCTTTTTACCTATTTTCAAAAAGTATATTGGTAGGCTTTTAATCGACCTATAAGAGCTAGGTAAAGGTAGTTCCATTTTCATGGACTCAAGTTTTTTTTTAATATTGTTTGGATGAAATTGTAAGAGGGTAATCTGAAAAATAAGAGATTAAAAACAAAATTGTATTTATTGTTTTAAAAAATGTGTATGTGATAGTAAATTTAGAAATTTAAAAAATGTGTTTAGTAATATATTTGTAAACTAATTGGAATAGAATTACCAATCAAAAATTTAGTTCAATTTAAAATAATATTAACTAATTCATTAATAGTTTTGTTATAAATTTGTAGAATTATTATTTTACAATATTGTATAATTTATATATTTTACATATTCTAATTTTAAAAAAAAATTAAATGAGCTTGTAAAATGAAAGAGTATACTTATCCAAATTTTTATCATTTTCAACGTAACTTTTCGAATGCTGGATGTTTATAACTAATATGAAATATATATAATATTTTTGTCATCCAATATAATTATAGAAAAACTTTGCCTCTCCAAAAAAAGTATTTCTTCCTTATCTAACCAATCTTGCCTTTTAATAAAATTTTCCTTGGTCTATTTTTATTAGTTAATTTATATCACACATCACTATTGTTTTTCCTCCCACTAAAAATGAACACACAAAAAAGTAACCAATAATTTCTCTTTTAAGCAAGATTTTGTTTTCTTCCCACAAATACATTTTCCTTAAATTTGTTATAATCGAATGCTATGAAAAGATAGATAGAGTATCTTAAAAATCTTTATTAAGAAAAATTATTAAATGAGACTGCCACAATATAGCTGTTCCCTAATAATTATTGGATGTAAACTCAAAATCATCATGTTATCTGATAATCACTAAATATATAATTTCTCTTCCATACAATCTAGTGGCATAATATTTTCAACTACGTTATAATATTTTCCTTCAATTATTTCTAAAGAAGGATTTTTACTTTTTACTTTTTATTATTTTTATTATTTTATTATTTTTTAATTTTTTTTATTTTTTAAAGAAAGAGGAATGCATTTGAGAGTAAAAAGGACCTTCTCTCTCATCAAACTAATTTTTTACCAGTGTTAATGGAGAATTAACTAATTTTTTTTTTTTACTTAGTGGAAGGCTCAATTTTAATAGATAAAAATTAATTGGTAATATTCAGGGTGTTTTGGTGTAAATTTCCCCTAGTTAGATTAAAAGTATCTATATAATTTTAGAAATATTTAGTTTCAATATTTATAATTTCATATATATTATTCTTTCCTCGTAGCCGAAATATTATGTGATGGAGAAGAGACGAAGGTGACCCAAAGTTTAGAAGTTTGAAAATCAATGTATCAAAAAATGAAAGAAAAACAAAGTTATTGTCATTGTGACCACACAATTTGAGGAAGATTTTTTTTTATTGCAACTCTTAATATATTAGGAAGAACAGCATCTCTACACAAAAGATTTATTTTTCTATTTCTCAAAAAAAAAAATTATTTTATCTTTTTCTTGAAATTTAAAATATGAACTTAAATTTAGAATACGTAATATCATATTATTAAGAATATTTAAAGAGACTAATAATTCTATTGTCTCGAGAAAGATATTAATAACCATCTTTGTACATGAAAATGCAAATATCCATTTGTTTTTATTGTCTATTTAATTTTTCAATATTACTATTTTAAAATGATGCTACATTTTTTTACACTACAAACTTTTCTAAAAAATCTTACAAGTCTTGATAAGATCTGAAACATGTGATTTTCGTGCAAAAGAAAAGAAAAAAAAGAGTTATTGGTTTTAATATTTTAAATAGGAAATAAGACTAAGTCCAATTTAATAATTAATTACAAATATATATATCCAACGTGGCTTAGAATTCCACCAACCACTTCAATATTTAAATGTGATTTCCGTAGGTCAAATTGGTGGTTTTCAAACTCACTATTTCAAATCCTTTATTAATATAGCAGCCCAATCCAATAATAAAGCATAATATTAAAATTTCATCCGATATATTGACAATTATATTAACATTTTTATATGTCCATAAGTATGTAGAACGGATCAACATAGTATCACAATTTTTTTTTTGACAAAATATAAAAATATCATTAGGATATAAATTTAATATTAATAAATTTTAACTTATTTAAAAATAGTAAAATGTTTAATTGTTATTTTAAATATTTATTATGTTTTTTTATTTATAATCTTTTTAGAAATGTACATCGATTTCAACTTAAATATTATTATTAATATTATTTTTTCCCTATAATACTCAAATATTATTATTTTCTTGTCTCGTATGGTGTATTTTGCATTATTTATTATTATTATTTTTAGAATTTTTATTTTCATTTATTAAAAATTCACCGTTTTGTGTAATGAATGTTTTTTAAATTTAGGGTTCACATCCTAAAAATATGCTCAAATGTTTTCAAGTCTAATTTTTCTGGTCAACCTTAACTATTATTAGAAAAGATATTAATTATAAACTTTGGAATAAAAGAGTTCCAAAGAAAGAATTTAGCTTTGAATTAGACACAAAGACTTAATCTTTGTAGACCAATGAATTGTATTTCTACTCATTTCTACACCACTTTCAAGGGGTTATGACTTTGTTTTTAAAAATTTCAAACAGAAAAGGCCTAAGAGAACCTAATTCAAAATATATAATTTAGAGGGCGAAATATATATGTGGTAAAAAAAAAAGATTTAGTTTATGTAATTTTAACTTTACAATGATTTATTTTCTATACTTTATTGTATAACAATCTAATATTTGTAATTAAAGAAAATTGTAATCTAAAAATATATTTATTGTCTCTAAATGAAATTATCGATCTACATACAATAAAAACAAACTCCATTATACAGGAGATTAAATCATTACAAATTTTAACGAACAAAAATTAAATTGTCATATATTATTACATTGTCATGTCAAATTTAGTAACTAAATAAGTGAACTACATCGACCAACCATATATATGTCGGAGATACATTGCTAAAACACAAAATTTGTAATTTTTTAACTTAAAACTGAAAAATTTATCCATTAGTAACAAACAATTCAACCAACAAAAACCTAGTCCACTGTCCCATAAGAAGTGCTCAACTCCAAAGACCAAATTGATTTATCCCCTTATCCTCTTATCCTCTTATCGCTTCACAAAAAAACATGGGCCAAAGGCTAAAAAAAGGATAGTAAATCTAAATTTAAATCCTTACATTTAGCTTAACTTAACGTTCGATTAGAGAAAAAAATTAAAAGAAAACAAATAAAAATCCCATCTTTATCAACACATTGAACACACCAAAACGAGTAATAAATGGTGGAGTCAAATTATTTACAGAGTTGAAAAGGAAGAAGAAGAAGAAGAAGGGGGAATAATCCCAAATACCCAAGTCGGAAAACGTGAAAAATACAAACGCGGCAACTACCAAAAGCTCGAGCTCGTTGCTATAATGGCGATTTAGAGAGCGACCGACCAATACCTAAGTTCGGCCAAAAGCTTCTTCTTCGTCTTCTTTCTATATTTAAGCGAGGAGGGGAGATATTTGGAGTTGATCTGTTTTGGGTTTTGGTTTTGGCCCCAAAATTTGTTCTATAACCAGAGAAATTTTATTCGGTCATTACAAGGGCGCGCGTTTTCTTTTCACCGCTTTTCTCTGGATCCTTATCCATTTCCTGATCTTCTTCCCTTCTGTTTGCCAAACAAAGAGCGTCGAAAAACCAAAAACAAGTAAAATCCTTATTCGAATCCCCTTGCTATTTCTTGCTTTCTTATATTGCGATTCCTTTCCGTTTCTTACTCTGTTTTTCAGTCGTTTGATTCTCTTGGTTCCTCTCGATTGTGTTCGTTTCTTTGTTGCCCCTTGAAAGAAAGTCATTTCCGATTACCTTTTTCTTTTTTTCTCTCCCGATTTCCTTTGTGATTTTGGGGAGATGGCGGTGAATTCGTTCTTGTTCGAGACGGCGGAATCTCCCACCGCCTACGATTTAGTGTTTAAGATTTTGATGTTCATTGCTCGTTTGTGGGTGGGGATTATCGTCGGGGTTTTGGTGGGATGGATTTGGAAACCTAAATGGGCCGATTCGGGTAGGGATTTGTTCAATTCTTCGAAGCTGAAGGATAATTTGCCATCGTCTTGCTTTGCCGGATCGATTTCTAGCTTGAATTCGTTGAAAATTCAGCTACCCAGATGCTTGAATTTGACCTCAGATTGTGCGGTGGAGAAGGAAGTTCTCGCCGACCACCAGCCACCTACTGCCGCCGCCATCTCCAGGTTTGTTGTTTTTTGAATTGCAACAAGAACAAAACTGGAATTACAACTTCAATTGTGACTCTGTGTTTGATTTACTCGTCGGGGTTTCCCTTTTGGTAATTGTTGAACTGGCGTCTAAACCTAATAGGATATGATATATTTAACACTCCGGGCTTGCAAATTTACTATCAATATTAATTGGAGAAGAAATAACATAGGACCTTAAGCTTTGATATGGCAGTTTAAGCTGATAAGTTATGATGCATTTGAATGTCTAATACGTATTTTTAACAGCAGTTCATCAAAACTCGAAGGCGAAAAACCGACCCAGTTAACCGAGGAAGATTTTAAGTATTTATACAAGCTTGTTGAGGAGAAAGATGGAGGCCCCTCATGGATTCAGATGATGGATCGCTCTACCTCTACCATGAGCTATCAAGCATGGAGGAGAGATCCTCAGGTAGCTACCTCTTGTTAATTTTTTTGTGTTTTGAACCAATCTGCTCACTTTCTGAATGTTTGAGGACGACATTTGTGATGAGTTTCTGCGTGTGCATATTGTTCTAGTAAATGAAGGTGTGTTATTATGGCTTTTTTTCTTTTGACTAGACGGGGCCACCGCAATATCGGAGTCGAACGGTTTTTGAGGATGCAACACCTCAGATGGTGAGGGACTTCTTTTGGGACGATGAATTTAGAATGAAATGGGATGATATGCTTCTAAGTGCTCAAACTTTGGAGGATTGCCCTTCCACAGGGAACATGACTGTCCACTGGGTGCGCAAGGTGAGTGAAGTTGGTTCCTATCTTTGGTTGTTCCCAAATGTTTAACGTTATTTGTATTGTTTTGTCATTGATCTCTTGTTTGTGCAGTTCCCTTTCTTCTGTAGCGATCGAGAATATGTGATCGGACGAAGAATTTGGGAATCGGGACAGTCATACTATTGTGTGACGAAGGTAAGACATCCAATATTTGTCTTTCATTCTTCCATGGCAATCTTGTTGAAGTTAGGGCTTTTTATATGTTTAGACATAGCTACACTTGTTTTAGAATTTACTTGTGCACTCACTTGTAAACTTTGCAATTCGGGTTATTCTTTAATGTGATAAACTACAGTCATTTCCTATGAATGCTAGTTTTACATTCGAGGTTGAATTATGATTAGTTTCTGACTATGTTGAAAGTATTGAACATTTAAAACCCGTGCTTGGGAAATAATAGGTTTCCTTGGTTTGTCTTGATTCAGGGCATACCTTGTTCCTTGGTACCTAGACAAAACAAGCCAAAACGCGTTGATCTCTACTATTCGAGTTGGTGCATCCGTGCAGGTAACTATGTTCTTAGTCTTCTTGCTCATTCTAATAGTATGTTGGACAAGTTGAATTCCCATCCCCTTGACATGGATGTTTCCTGGACAACATTTTGTAAACTGCAACTAAAGAGTTCTTACTCTGCTTGTATTTGGAACAGTCGAGTCGGAAAAGGGGACTGGCCAGCTGACTGCCTGTGAGGTGTTACTGTTTCACTATGAAGACATGGGTATACCGTGGGAAATCGCAAAGCTCGGAGTCAGGCAGGGGATGTGGGGAGCTGTAAAGAAGATAGACCCCGCTTTACGTGTGTATCAAAAGCATAGGGTGACCGATGCCCCGCTTTCAAACTGTGCTGTGATGGCTAATATCAACACAAAGCTCAGTTCTGACTACTTGAGATGCTCAGAAGACACATCTGATGATTCCTTAGAGGTCAAAAGTTTGGAGCCCGCTGAAAAACCAGCAGGAAAGAGCCTACCGAAGCTTCTCGTAATTGGGGGAGCAATCGCCCTCGCTTGCAGTCTCGATCACGGCCTCTTAACTAAAGCAGTCGTATTTGGAGTTGCTCGGAGATTTTCAAACATCGGAAAGAGATGATCGCCGCGGCAGCAAATCTCGTACTCTTCAGCTTCAGCTTAGCATTGGTTTCTTTACACACGCACGCAGCCCCTTTGAAAAAGTTTCGAAGGTGGTAAAAGTTTTTTTTCCCCCTTGAGTTGTAAAAAAGAAGCTTTAGATTGGGGAAGAGAGAAGGGTAAAGAAAGGTAATTTAGGCTTTCTTTCTTGTGTTGTATGTTTCTTTTCTTTTTCTCATCTCATCATCTTCATGATGGAATGTTGTAGAATTAATACTAATAGGTGAAAGTAAGAAGCAATGTTGAGTAGCTATTTTATTAATTTTTGTTGCCCATCTTCTGTTTATTAAATTGGTACATCCCTGAATATAGTTACTTTCTTTTGGTTAAAAATAAGAATTCATGTCTCATGTTTACACTATTTTCTAATTTTGTGATTTAATGGCTTGAAAATTTGTCTACTTGAAATACTTAATAGATTAATTAATCTATGTTCTTGTTTCATCATATAAAATGGGGAAGAAAAAATCAAGTAGAACCAGACGTTGATAGAGTGAGGGAAATCGAGAGAGTAAAATATAAAATATAAATAAAAGTATTACTTTATTACTTTTCACTTATAAATCAAAATGTATAATAAATATTAAAAAATGAATATAACATTAAAACAAATTTGAATATTTAATTTAAAAAATTAAATTCCATATACAAATTTTAGTTTCTTTTAACTTGAAAGGTTAGGTTGGAGAACGAGAAATTACCAAATATGTTTTTTTTTAAATAATAAAAATAAGAAATAACAGTAAATAAGAAGTCAGTAACCAATGGTAAATTCTGTTCCCATTGATTAAAAAAGTGCAAACAAAAACTAAAAACAAAAAACAGAAGGAAAAAACAAGAATTACAAACGTCACAAAGACGAAATAAGAGAAACAAAACAACTTTATTGTATATTTTATATTTTGATTTAAATCTGGTTTTTTTTTTTGGTTAATGAAGCTATTTAGATATCAGTTATTAGATAAATGTACTGAAACTAATATTTAATTTTGAAGAAATGGTGAAAACGAGAGGAGGTATGGTGATTGCAAGAGAAGCCCAAAACATTCTAAAGCTGTAATCTATGCAATACGATATAGATTTGAGACATAGATACAAAGATATTAAAGTGTATAGGTAAAGTAAAAGTTTATCATTTTTATATCAGAAGACAATTCAAAGTAACAAAATTTACAAATTTTAATGTAGAGTGGACACAACATATTTTGAGAGCTCTCCTCTTCGGGTTTTTTCAAAGGAGAGTGGAAAAAAGTGGGGGTGTGGCCAGTGGCCTACTCCCTCCTCTTCTTCTCCTCCTCGTCAAGGGTGTGCGTTTTCTCTCAGTTTTTGATTGAGTTTTTTTAGAGGGTTTTCCTTTCTGCTTTGTTTCAGTTTTTTCGTAGTTTTTTTTCAAGTAGTAAGTAGCATGGATGAAGATATTTTGGGACTTCTATTACTGTTGTGAATGCAGTTTTCACGAAGGATCCTTCTTTCCCGCTAGTTTCTGTTATGGCGGATAGTGACTGGATGTCAGAGATCTCCCCATTGGATGCCAATAGTGCTGTTGTGGTTGATAAAATCAAAGCCAACATCGTTATGTATGGTCCATGGCATCGTCATCATGACGTTTTGAAGAGTTACCATGCACAAAATTGGTGAGGGTTACCGCCTATAATATCTTGGGATGACTCTTCATCTGCATTGCATTCTAGTTCAGAGAACTTACATGGTTCCAGGACAAGGATGATGGAGCAGAAGGTGGGCGACGATGGAGGTGCAGCAACGATCAAATCGAACACCGTTTTGGGATCTGTGGAGGTTATCAATCTTAATTGTCTTGAGATTCCTTGTCAGCATGATTTTGGGAATTTGTCTAATCCTTCCTTACCTGTCACGGTGGAGGATAAGACAACTTTTGATACAATTATCTCTCCAAATTCTAAATAGAGGTGTCATAATTGTCAATATCCTTCAATTAATTAAAGAATCTCCCCCAAAATCATTAAATGAGATTGTGGATGTTGTGGCATTGGAGAAAATGTTTGGTGGGCTAAAATTTGTTCATATTCTTAGTTCTTTGAACAGACAATTTGTTTTATTGGCCAAGTGTAATGATTATTTCTATGTCCTTCGATAATTATTTTCTTTTATGGCTTTTATTTGTGGTGCGTTGTCACCCCTCTTCTAATGTAACCCTTAGTGGTACGATTTTTTTTATGCAACGTTTCTTTGATAAAAAAAAGAATTTACAAATTTTATATGCTTAGAAAAATGAGTTTGATATATTTCACTCCGAATTTTATAAGTCGTATATTACTATTCAAACCGAATCAACCAATGGTTTGATTTATATCAAACACTAACGCAAAGAAAGACAGGATCAATCATCTAATTACGAAAAGAAAAACGAACTACAATCTCAAAATTTGAAGAGAGAAATTAAAGAATTGGTAGCGAAATCGATGAAAAGACCTCCGGCGCAAAACCCTACCGCTTCAGGTGCTGAATCGAGATTGCTGACTTGGCTTGTTCCTTGTTGGCCTCCTCCGACTTCAGAGCCGCCATTGTTAGAAGCTTAGAAGAAGAAGCCCTAACTGATTAGGCGAGCAATCTTTGAGCGGCGAAGGAATAATCGAACAAACCGAACAACGAATCATCTCGATTAAGCCCTAACTGATTTAATTTTCTTCTTGTTGCTGTGATTTTTTTGGCGAGTGGGCTTGACGATGAAATTAGAATACATTCAATGTAACTCCATTTTGAAATTATAATTTCAACATGTAACGCATAACAATGGACACAAGTCAAGACGCAAACAGCCAAACCGAGCATGTCTCAAATGGTTAAGGCACCTATCTCTGACCAGAAGGTCATGAGTTCGAACTCCACCCCCACAATGTTGTACTAAAAAAAAAATGTCAAGACGCAAACAAAGACGTTCCTTTAGGATTTAAAAATGTTTATCTTCAAAATTGAATTAATTGTTAACATGAGTTTTTTTTTTCTATAAATTTCTAATTTTATAAAAAATTGAATCTTAGACTTAAAAAATGTTGTAACTTTTAATTCTATTTTAAAAATTGGGTAGTTTTTAAATTTTACAATTTTTTCTACCTTTTGCCTTATTTTCACTCTTTCATCTGGGGACCAATTCTCCACATGGAACTCATCCTTGATCGAAAAATCTACAATTCCAAATCTACTCCCATTCCAGTCCCAAAATAGCAAGGATGGAGACTCAAATTGTATATCCATACTTCAATATACTTTTCACAAATTCTTCACATAAAAGTTGAACTTGACCTTAAATCTATTTTGAACATAATTGAAAATCTATTCAAAGGATCACGAATTCGAATTGTCAAAGACCTGCAAAATAAAAATTAGCATTTCGACAGTTAAGTTAGTATAGGTTCGAACTATTTCACTCTCAACTATATACACAAATTTGTACATACATGAGAAACAGTTTACCTTCCATATTTATAGACATCTAACAATACTTAATATTATGGTCAACCATGATACCTTCCTCAAAACGATAGGTGCACTACCCTGGCAAGTGAGACGTTGAACGGTTTACCAAGTTTTGACTTCTGATCTCTCGACCTTTGGCTTGGTCATAATGGAAAGCAGATCGATGGGTCCACTTCGAATTTTCGAAGTATAAATACTTGAAGTTCGCACCACCTCCTTAGAACATCACGTGACACAAGTTATGCTGTTTTCTACCTCCCAAACACTATCCAAATATAACTTCAATCTAAATAAAATTGATAACCTATCAACTGATTAAATTTCGGGAGCAGTACTAGTTTTATTTAAGAAAATAAAAGATAAAGTATGAAAGGAACTTATTGTATCAAAGCATCATGGTCTTGATTTCAAACGCGAAGGCAAATAAGGAACAAGCTAAATTTATTTATTCTTTTTAATTTAAATTTTCAAGCCTAGCTTCACAATCGACAAGATGTATGAATTTTCACCGTTTAAGTTGCTAAACAGTAGGTAAATTTAAGAGAAATTTAACATATGGTAAAAAGTACAACATCTTTGTAGGTCCTTCAGTTTGAAGATGTTAAAAAAAAATCAATTTGAATAAAATTAAAAGCTCATGGTGAAATTTTGATTAAACTTGGCAGGAAAAATTCGATTTTTCCCATAATTTTTCATTAACTATTTTACCCAAAAAAAAAAAATCTAAATCCATTTCAAAGCAGAATACTTTTCTTACAATTCCTAACTTTAAACATCTATCTAACACATAAATGACGATATATCTATATATGTCAAAGTTTTCATTCAATAATTTATTAAAAAAATAATAACAATAGATTAAAATGATTTGTTACCACCAAACTAAGAGGTTGTGAGTTCGATTCCATACTCTTACCTCTTGTATTAAAAAAATATTTTTTTATTAAGTTAAAATATTTTAAAAAATTTAGAGATTAGAATAAAATATCAAAAAGTGAAGAATTGAGTCTAATTTTAAATTTAAAAGCTAAATAGATTTTTTTCATTATTCATAAGATTTTAAATGGTGATGTCGAAGAAAATGTTAGTTCCCAAATTTATAGAAACGTTAAAGAAATGTCTTGAGAAAGGGCAAGATTATAGAAATATAAATAAAATATCAATATATATGAATGTGTTTTTAAAAAAAATTACAAAATAAAAAACTAACAATTATTTGTATTAACACCTCCTAAAATAATTTAAAAAATTTTATTATTAATATTATGCCCATGATAGTAATATTTTTTATATTTCGTTATGCTTTTACGATATAATAAAAAATTCAGTTCATCTTTTATTTGGATCAATGTCAATTTTATGGATATATATATATACACACACCATGTATCTACTAAATCTTAATACTAATTTGTTTTTTTTTCAAGGATTTAATACTAATTTGTGAATGGTCAAGAAAAGAGGGTATCCCTCAGCAATCCACCACACTGACGAAAAATAAGATTGTCTTCTTCTAAACTCGTGGATGAAAGTTTGTTCAGTAATATTTCTATTTCTTATTTTTTATTTTTAGTTTTTGAGAAGCATATTACATTTGATAATGGTTCTTGTTTCTCATTTTTAAGAAACGTTCTTAAAATTGTGCAGAAATTTTGAAAACGTGAATTTGATTTTTTGTTTATGTTTTCAATTTTTTAAAAATACGAATAAAAACATTATGTTATCATTATTAACTTCTAAAATGTATAATAAACATTTAAAAACAAATATAAAATTTTAATTTAAAAAATAATTCCATAAAAAATTTATTTTCTTTTTTAATTTAAAATTTTGCACACCAGTAAAATATTTTGAAGTGTCTCTATTTCTTTTTTCAAAGAACAAAAAATTAAAAACAAGAAAAAATTATCGAACACAATTTTAGTTCTTCAGTTTCTCTGCCTACAATTAATATCTAATTGTAAAAAAAAATTAAAAAAAATACTAACGCATCTCACTTCTTGTCTAGAAAAAGAAAAAAAGAAAGGAAAAAAAGTAATCTCCCCGTAGAACCCACGCACGCTTAAGATATTTCCAAGTATTATCGTTAGAACGGTCGCCGTTTCAAAGACATGATGTGGGTCCCACACGAGTCAGCTGACCGTTGCCCCGATTCTACACACCAAAGTCAAAGGCGGCAACTTTATTTTCTAATTTCATTCTTTTCCTTCCCACAAAACAAATATTTGATCTTGGAAGTTGGAAGTTGGAACTTTGAATTTTGAACGAAAGGTTAAAATATTGGGAGAAAATTTTCAAACATGGAAGAGGACGTAAATTTATAAAGAAAAGGCTAAATTCAAGTTAAGAAAACAAAAAATTTTGGTCTTTATTTAAAGAATATTCCTATACTTTCAACACGATCAACACTACTTTCATCTTTTCTAAACATTTTAAAAATTTTATTTAAGAAAATATTAGTTAATATTTTGAACAAAAAATTAACATGGTAGAACATAAACGGAGTTGGTAATTAATTAATATAGAAGCTTACATCGTGCTAAATTTAAAACTGGGGTTAATAGCACAACAAGAAACCAATCCCTCTCAAACAACAATCTACCAACAATAATTTTGTTGCTCAATGCATGTTAATTGTCATGTCGTTCTAGATTCTATCATGTAAGTTTTTCGTTAGAAATATTAACCGATGTTTACTTAAGTGATATTTTTCAAATGTCTATGAAAGGTTAAAAGTAGTATTGAAACTTTTGAAAAGATAGAGATATCTTTTAAATAAATGACAAAGTTAAGAGATTGAATTTTGTAATGGAGTATAAATAAAATTCCAACCCACTTCTATTATGTTTATCCACTAATTTATTTGAATCCTATTAATCTCAATAAAAATTGCCAAAGCGAGCATAGCTCAGCGGTAATTGGTATATACCTCCAACTATGAGGTTGTGAATTCGAATTCCCTCCCCAACATGTTGTATTAAGAAAAAAAAATCTCAATAAAAATTGAAGTTCTAATCAATTAAACGCACAAAATCTCCAAGTACTAACATTAGTTTGCTAATCACACAACTTTTATTGTAGAAAGAATGAGACTACATTTTTGGAGTAAATTTGTTTATTTCAAATCTCATGTATTGGCCTAATTAGCTCTCACGTAGGCCGATAGAGATTACAAGGATAGTTTCAAATGGATAAGACATTTATTACCATCTAAAAAGTCCTGCAATGATTAAATTAAAAAAGTAAATTAATAAAAAATATATATTTATAAGTATTTCAAAACTCATAAATTTCAATCACAAAAAAGTTTCACTGATCTAATACTAGATGAACCAGTTATATATACCTAACGATAATTTTAACGATTTCAAAGTCTATAAAAAATAATAATAATAGAAATATTTATGGTAATCCTAAGTTGAATGCGATGAAATTCAAAGTAGAAAGGAAAATTTGAAGTGACCCCAAATTTAGTTTTCATTTTGGTACAAAAATAAATTCGTTTTCGTAAAATAAACAAACGAAATACGAAAAGGAATTTGCTTGGTTGGAACTCGGAAGCGTCTAG